CCCCCCGAGTGCACAAATTTTTGTGCACCGGGCCTCTAGTCTAAATATATAAAAGGCTAATATGCTAAGTGTCCGACCGTTCGACCGGTAGCTATAACACGCACTGACTACCAGGAGGCAGACGCTCAACGCATAGGCATGGAAACATGGAACAGATTGATAAATCTCAAAGGGAAGTGGGGAGGGGGGAAGGCGGGAAGAGATTAACCGAAGATCTCATATGCATACTAGAGGCCCGGTACATGGATTCATGCACTGGTGACTGGTGGGGTCCTTCAGCCTGGCCTGCAGGGATTGGGCCAAAACTAGCAGTCCAACATCCCCCGAGGGTCCCAGATTACGAAAGGGTGCAGGCCAGGCTGAGGGACCCCACTGGTGCACGAACCCATACACCGAGCCTCTAGTTCAGGGGTTCTCAACCTGTGGGTCGCGACCCCTTTGGTGGTCGAACGACCCTTTCACAGGGTTTGCCTAAGACCATCCTGCATATCAGATATTTACATTACGATTCATAACAGTAGCAACATTACAGTTATGAAGTAGCAACAAAAATAATTTTATGGTTGGGTCACAACATGAGGAACTGTATTTAAAGGGCCAGAAGGTTGAGAACCACTGCTCTAGTTAAATATAAAAGCACACCAGAAAGTCATACAGAAATATGGCCCTGAAGATAAGATTTTGTAGCATAGATTTTTCTTTAAATTTCTTTGGTGGTTTGTAACTTGCAAATAACTTGAATGTTTCCCACTACTGTTCAGTTTGGAGGAAGTCACTTGTTGTCTTGGTATTTTATGACTTCCATTACTTTTACTCTGGACTTTTCTTTTTGAAGTAGAGCTAACTCTTTCAATGTGCCTGTGCTATCCATAGTAGTTTCCACTAAGACCAGCTAACATTGTTTTATTTCTGTCTGCACCTGTTCACCATGCTAAAAACCCAAATTGGTAGTGACAGATACAACTTGGTGCTGTTATGCAACTTGTATGACCGGTCTCATAAAGTGGGAATACTTTTCAAGCAAATGCCTGGGGTAAGTGCTGGGTTCTTAAGCATTAACATGCTACTTGAATGAAGTTCAATGGAAACTCCACCTCGGCTGTGGGAAATCATCTTACAGTGCATAAGGCCATCAAAATATTATCCTGTTCTTTTAAATACCTTGAATAATGATTTTCAAGAGATAAATTAGCAATAGCAAAAAAGTAAAAGCTTTATTTGGACCCAAAGGGTCTTAGGGATATTATCCTATTCAATAAAAGGCTAATATGCAAATTGTCCCCTCGACTGGGAGTTCGACCAGGAGGTGGGGCCAGCTGGCCAATCGCCCATGGCCCCTGTCCCCGGCCAGCCCACCCCTGATCGGCCCCAATCGGGGCCAGCTGGCTGGACCCTACCTGTGCACAAATTTGTGCAACGGGCCTCTAGTATGTAAATATTATTCAATTGTCCATCCATCCATCTATCCATCCATCCACTCACTGAGTACCTGTTACATGCCAGGCATTATTCTAGATGCTGGGGACACAGAAGTAAATAAAACAAAGTCCCCACCTCAAGAACAATGTCCTTTCTACATTTTAGTGGAGTTTATACTAAATATAAGAACAAAGTATAAGTTCTTCATAAAGGTAATTTCATAAAGATAATTTATGGTTTAAATCTTAGAAGTACATTTTCTCCTGGATAGAAACTTCTCATGACATAAAAACCTTGTCCAGTACAGGGTCAGGGTTTCCACCAACAAAAATGCTGTGTGTGAAACCTAGTCAAATTTAGGACACAGGGAACATGCCACGTGGGGCCCACAAAGTATAAGTTCTTCATAAAGGTAATTTCATAAAGATAATTTATGGTTTAAATCTTAGAAGTACATTTTCTCCTGGATAGAAACTTCTCATGACATAAAAACCTTGTCCAGTACAGGGTCAGGGTTTCCACCAACAAAAATGCTGTGTGTGAAACCTAGTCAAATTTAGGACACAGGGAACATGCCACGTGGGGCTATGTTCTGCCAGGAGGCCTACTTCAGTATCCAAAACGCCTGGCAGTTGCCAGGACTTGCAAGGGGAATTTTGTTTACTTTGTGAAATGCCCAGTAAGTTCCAAGGGTCATTTAGGAATACTGTCATACTGTCGTTAGGGCAGATACAGTCTTTAACTTACAAGCATCCACTATAGAGAACATTCTGATCTCAGTATTCATTTTATTTCTATGGTCAATAAATAGAATCTCTTACATTATGAAATACCAGTAGAAAAAAATGTCTTATGTTACTTAATACTATTTTTATATTCTTTAAATATTTATTATCTGAGATTAGCTACATAATTAAGCACTATGTATGATATTACATTGTTTATTATGTTCAATAGTCTCAACTATTGGCTTAGAGTGAAATAAAACATTTTATTTTTTAAAACATTTTATTTTAAAAAATATGGTTTTATTGATTTTTAGAGAGAGAAGAAGGGAGAGGGATAGAGAAGTAGAAACACTGATAAAGAGAAACATCATTGATCAGCTGCCTCTTGCATGACCCCTACTGGGGATCAAGCCCACAACACGGCATGTGCCCAGACCAGGAATTGAACTGGTAACCTCTTGGTTCATGGGTCGACACTCAATCACTGAGTCACACTGGCTGAACTGAAACAAATATTTTAGATAAAATAAAAACTGTAATGAAATTAAAAAATTACTTCTCAGGGTTGTTTAATAAAGATCAGGGATTTGATAATCAATAATAAAAAATCCCCTAAATTTAGGTATAGTTTGAACTAATATTTACAAAATTTCAAAATAATGCCTTCATTATTCACATAGAGCCATCTTTATCTGACCACATCCTCAACTCCAGGTTAGACGATGTGAGCATTTCGTGGGAGAGTTTTAGAAAGTCAGAAGAGTCCAGTGAGAGTCTGAGACAACAATAAGCAGATGCTTCAAGGCGAAGTGGCAGACACCAGGGCAGACATGTGACAGAAGTTAAGAAAAGGGAACAGGCAGCAGAAGGCAGAAGTGACAGATACAAATGGTGACAGAAAAGGCAGCAAGAAGCAAGGTGAGAATGTGAAAGAGGGATACAATTTGCTTGCATAATAGGTACAATATTCAGTCATATATTTAATAAAAAAGAAATGCAAATATGTGTATCTATAACAAAAGATAAATTAACTTTAGTAAATTCTGTAGTCTTATAATTTTTTACAAGATGCTTTAATTGACTCATGTGTTCATCAAAACCCATGAAAGACAGGAAGAAATCAGAGCACAATGAACACAGCTGTACACTGATACCCCTGTCCCAACAGGACAACAAATGGAACTGTCTTAGTCTCTTTCCTGGGTTCTAGGAAAGCTGCCATAGGATAAACAGGTGTTAGGTTTGATGGGTTCAATGACTCAGTTTCACAGAAGCTGTACTGTTTACTCGTAGCTAGAGTGATCACTTCCTAAACCTCAGCGCATTAGGCCTGACACAGCAGTTCTGCTGCTCCCTGTACTGTGAATGCTTTCATTTAAGAGTCAGCAGCCCTTCTTAGGCAGGAATGCCATCTGTAGCCCTTGGGATGCCTGAGGCCAGAGGAAGAGACAGAAGAAAAAGAAGAAAGAGCTAAGAAAGACCATTTTTATGAGAAGAAAAAGGAGAATTATAGGAGTGGAAAGAAAGGAGGAGAGGGGGACAGAGAAGGAAAGCAGTTCGTTATGTGGTGAGTAGAATAAAGCATAACCACGCTAGATATTATGCACTAGGACAACCCATTCAACATCTGGGTCTCACCGCTTCATCTTCTAGAACCCTTTTTTCTTCACCTCATTTGGGTCACCCACTTCTCCAGCCACATCTGGAGTACTGAAAACTGTCCTATCTGAAAATGACTAAAGAAGATCGCCTATTCCTTGCTAAGAACATCTAATCTTACAGCTTGTTTGCTTGATAGCCGAACCTCTACCTATTATTTGGGCAGTGCTGACAGTCTCCTCCTTATTGAAGTAGAGTGTTCCTGGGGCCTCTGTTGACAGCACACTCGCCTGGAGTGCTGTCTCCAGTTCTCCTGCTAGGTCTCCTTTCTTAGCCTGCTCCCTTTTTCCACCTTCACAAGCTATGGAGTCTGTAGGACCTGATCAGAAGCTAACTTCTATGTTCCTTTCCTTAGGTCATCTCATGCTCTCTCATGGCTGCAAAGATCTCTGAAGCCAATGACTGACTTTTTAAATCTCCAGCTCCACATATTAACACTTTACTGGATAGTTCTAATCGAATGTCTTAGGCACTTCAAAGATAGTATGTCTAAATGTACTCCTCTTCCAAATACCTTAAAATAGTAACTGCACCATATCTTCCTGACTTTTTCACATCAGAAACCAGGGAGTCACCTCTGAAATCTTCATCATCAGCCCCTACAACATTCTGTTTTGCTAATCAACTTTACTCTAAATATCTCTTAATATATCCACTTTTTACCATCTCCACTGACACCAATGTAATCAAAGACATCATCACTATTGCTGTAGCCTCCTAAACTGGTCTCTCCAAATGTTCTCTACTATTTTCTAGACAGTAATGTAACTGATATTTTCAGGTTTTACTCAAGTAACAGTAGGAATAAAGAGCAATTAGATATTTTTTAATTCAACTATAGTTTCCTTGGGAGGGGGCATCCTAACAACTGCCTAATATTCTAACATCTTAACTGAGACTGCCTAAGTGGGGTAGTTAATTCTACCCCAAAATACAATCCTTAAACATAGCGAGAAGAGAACTTCAAGCACCCAGAAGGAGAAGGAATTAAGGAAAAAGAATATATCACCTCTTGCTTAAGAGCATGTGCCACCATTCTCTCGGCTAGTTCTTCTGGCCAACATCCCACACTACATTCATGTATTTATTTGTCCTTCATCTAAGCTTAGTTAGGGGAAAAACAAATCACGTTTAAGAAATACAAAGAACAAAAAGTCTAGTACAGGCCTTTCCTGAATAAATTACAGATCCTGTTTGGATTTCATATTATGGCCACTTTCTTAAAATTTGGAATGAAGCCCTACCTGATTTGACTCAGTGGATAGAGAGTTGGCCTGAGCACTAAAAGGTCCTGGGTTTGATTCGGTCAAGGGCACATACTTGGGTTGCAGGCTCCTCCCTGGCCGGAGCCCTGACCAGGGCATGTGTAGGAGGCAACCAATTGATGTGTTTCTCTCACATCAATGTATCTCTCTGTCTTTCCCTCTCTCTTCCACTCTCTCTAAAATATCAATGGAAAAGTATCCTTGGGTGAGGATTAACAACAACAAAAAAATTTGGAATAAAGCATGGGAAAAAAAATTAGAGAAATAAAGCCAAGTTTAGGCTGCACCCTGAAAGACCACTAACTTCAGTAACCAGTCTACTTGCTCCTTCAACATGGTTGGGAATATCCTTTTTCCCTGATATTCAGGGCTAAATGAAAGAATGAGGAAAAAAGCTTTCTTTAAATAAATCTCTCATGTAACCAGAGCACTATTTGTAGTAGACAGAAATACTATAGAAAATAACAGGGAAGTGGAATTCTAAGAAGGCACTTTTTGGCCACAGTGGGCATGCCTATTGCTGATTATGATGGAGGGAGTGTTCTTGTGCTCTTCTCACAGGAGAGGGTAGATGGTGAAGCTGAGGCTTTCGGGCAGTGTGTCCACAGACAGACAACAGTGGTTCCTACACATGCACAGCCTTATTCTGATTTTGATTTTCTCATTGCCCTGACTACTCCTCTACATGTTCTTAATCTACTTCACCTTCACAGGGATGTCCTCTTCCTGGCTGGCTTTCTCCGAGGTGAAGACATACGAGATTTCTTTGTGAGACGTGTTCTGGCGGCAGATGGCACACTTAATGGAGCTTCTGTGGGAGCCCACGCTGTACTGTTCGATAATAATGGAGACGCATTCATTACAGAAACAGTGCCCACAGGTCAGGACTGCCCACTGGAAAAGAAAACACAGAACATGCTCAGGGAGTTACTACCGAAGATCCCTTCCAATGTATACATATATGAAGAGGAGAAGTCATCATTGCACTGCCTAAGTATTTCATGATATGAGTATTCTTTAAGTCATAAAAACTAAGCTGTACATTTAAGTGAATGATTTTTTAAGTCTAGTCAGAGTAAGCTTTCATAGTGTTTAGTTCTGCTCACCCTAACAGTGAGCACAATAGTCAGCTAGTCACTGTTATTTATAAGAAGGTGATGTTCTCATTTCAGTATTTAGGAAGAATGTGAATTACCCCTTCAGCACTCTAATGGCAGATATAATACAGGGACTAAGAACAGCATTAATTTGGAGGCAATATCGCACTCAAAATAGTCCATACAACTTTTATTTTTTTTTATTTATTTTTATTTTTTTTAAAATATATTTTATTGATTTTTCATCTCCTACTGAGGATGTGCCCGCAACCCAGGTACATGCCCTTGACCGGAATCGAACCTGGGACCTTTCAGTCCGCAGGCCGACGCTCTATCCACTGAGCCAAACCGGTTTTGGCTCCATACAACTTTTAAATACATTTACATTTTCTCATGTTAAAGCATTTATTATATAGGAAATAAGATGGACTAGTATCTCAGATATTTTAAAAGTGGTTCTGGGATACATTAAAAATTACTAAATAAACAAACAAAAATATATTTTTGAAACCCCCCTTATCACATTTTAAGAAAGACACAATAACTTTTCTGGAGCATATTATGGGGATTTCTCCCCTTTTTGGCAGGGGTTGGGGGGGTGTAGAAGAGCATTAGATTTAATCGAGGTGTCAGTTCTAAAAGTTCTGACATCTTGTGTTAATTATTTAAACTTTCCACCTGATAAAAACCACCAACAATAATAAAAACAGAATGGTGCTAGGAGTGACGGGCTCCTAAGCCCTAAGCTATGATGTCCCTTTACTTGAATGGAAAAATGGTATGTGGCTGGGCCTTCCCTAGGTACTTTGCAGGATGAACTAAAAAGCCTCTTGGAAAAGAAGCCACACTAAAGTTAGAGAAAATGTGATATATAAGCTCGGTTTAAAAACACTGACTGGGAAAGGGAAAGGGTTATTTGGGTTTTCCTGGGTGACGCAGTTCATGACACTCTCTAGGTGCACCTCTGCTCTCAAGGCCTGGGTCAGGGTCCCCAGAAGCGGGGCTGCAGGAAAATGACTCAGTGGCATTTTTGTAGACAGAGCAGTACTGTTCTGTACCCTGTGCACCTTTAGTGCCACGGGGAATGAAGGGCACTTCCTTTACTTGAGGGGACTTGTGCAGACTGTGAGAGCTCAAATGGACAAGGAGAAGAGAAGAGCAAAACATATCTACAATGGAGGAGAAGCCAGAGTCATCTGGCACCAGAACATTAGTAGTGACAGGAAGTTGACTGAAATGGCATAAACAGAAAAACAGACAAATAGCAATGCCTTTGAAAACTGAAGTGTTTTATAAATGCAAGTGATGTTTATTATAATTTCACCTGTTTTCCCAGCTGCCGAGCACAGATTGGACAAGGTTCTGGATTAATACCTCCTGACGTCTTGTCTTGAGACTATCCAAAAGAGAAGAATTCAAAAATATATTGGTTATATTTGAAAACCTGATACAAATACAACTCATTTTACTAAATAAGTGAACAAAAATTGGAAACAATTTTTATTATAGTTTGTTAAAGTTATCATATTACTGTAGTAGTGATTATCATAGAAGGCAAAATGAAAAGAACAATCCTATCTAATAATAGACAAACATGGTAATTAACCATACCTCCGACACGCTTCCCATTGGCTAATCAGGGCGATATGCAAAATAACTGCCAACCAAGATGGTGGCCAGCAGCCAGGCAGCTGAAGCAAACAGGAGGCTTGCTTGCTCCAGTGATGGAGGAAGCCAAGGTTCCCCGCCTGCTGCTGCCGGCCTCTGAGCTGCACTCTAAGAAACAATGTTGCAATTATAGAAGCTAAACAAACCCCAGAAACCTGCTTTCAGCCAGCCGGGCCTCAGAGCTGGAGCTGCAACAGTGTTTCAATTATAGAAGCCAAACAAACCCAGATACCTGCATTCAGCAGCCGAGGTCTCAGAGCTGGAGCCGAGCCTCAGAGCTAAAGCTGGCTCTCAGTTCCAGTGACAGCCATAGAAGGTAAATAAATCCCAGATTAAAAAAAGAAAAAGAAAAAAAGGAGAGGTTGGGAGCTTCAGTCACCCGCCAGCCTGAAAACGGCCCTCAGCCCCTCACCCAGACTGGCCAGGCACCCCAGTGGGGACCCCCACCCTGATCCAGGACACCCTTCAGGGCAAACCAGCTGGCCCCCACCCATGCACCAGGCCTCTATCCTATATAGTAAAAGGATAACATGCAAACTGACCCTAACAGCAGAAAGACTGGGAATGACTGGTCACTATGACACACACTGACCACCAGGGGGCAGACGCTCAGCCCTCTGGTGGTCAGGGCGCTCTCACATGGGAGGAGCTCTGCTCAGCCACAAGCCAGGCTGATGGCTGCCAGTACAGCGGTGGAGGTGGGAGCCTCTCCTGCCTCCTCAGCAGTGCTAAGGATGTTCGACTGCAGTTTAGGCCCGCTCCCCACTGGCAAGTGGACATCCCCTGAGGGCTGCTGGGCTGCCAGAGGGATGTCTGATTGCCATCTTAGGCCCAATCCCCTGGGGAGCGGGCCTAAGCCAGCAGGTGGTCATCCCCTGAGGGTTCCCAGACTGCGAGAGGGCACAGGCTGGGCTGAGGGCCCCCCCCGCGCCCCCCCCCCCAGTGCACAAAATTTTTGTGACCGGGCCTCTAGTATGATATAATTAGCTAAATTCATAGATTATATTTTCAAGCTAGGTTTTGTTACAAAGAAATGATATATTCTGCATGTCCGCTTAGCATGGCTCACGAACATAGGAAGAGGCAGCATTTATTTCCATAACTCCTTATTAATACTGGTTTCTTCTCAGTATCCTTTTTCTAATCTCATTAAGGCAAAGCAAATAACTAGATATTAGAAATATTACTGATCTGAGACCTAAGTATACCTGGGAATTATGTTGAAGTATAAAAGCTTTTCAAAATCTCCTTAAAACTATTTTTAAAAATTAAAAGAGCTTCAGAAAAGTCATCAAATGGGCAGGTTTTCAAACTGAAGAAAACATAAAGGATTACAAAGTTTTTAAGTTTGTGGTTTCACTAACCAAATAGTTTTTTATAAGTCATTGCTATTGATTATCCTTGACTCTCTTAGCAACTCTCAAATATACAATACAGTATTAAATATAGTCACTATGCTGTACATTATATCCCCAAGCTTTATTTATTTTATAACTCAAAGTCTGTATCTTTTGACTCCTTTCACCCATTCATTTCACCCACCTCCACAACCACCATCTCTGGCAACTCTTGGTTGTCTGTACCTACGAGCTTAATGTTGTGTGCTTTTTATTTTTTACTAGAGGCCCAGTGCACGAAATTAATGCACGGGGGACAGGGGGTTCCTCAGCCTGGCCTGCACCCTCTTGCAATACGGGACCGTTCGGGGGATGTCCAATTGCAAGTTTAGGCCCGATCCCACAGTCGGACATCCCTCTTGCAATCCGGGACCACTGTCTCCTAACTGCTTGTCTGTCTGCCTGCCTGATGCCCCTAACTGCTCTCCTGCCTGCCTGATCGCCCCTAACCAGTCTGCCTGCCTGCCTGATCACCCCTAACTGCTCGCCTGCCTGCCTGATCGCCCCTAATCCCTCTTCCTGCCTGCCTGATCACCCCTAACCACTCTGCCTGCCTGCCTGATTGCCCCTAACTGCTTGCCTGCCTGCCTGATCACCCCTAACCGCTTGCCTGCCTGCCTGATTGCCCCTAACCACTCGCCTGCCTGCCTGATTGCCCCTAACCGCTTGCCTGCCTGCCTGATCTCCCGTAACCGCCTCTGCCTTGGCCCCCGCCAACACGGCTTCGTCTGGAAGGACGTCTGGAAGGACGTCTAGAAGGTCGTTTGGATGTCTGGTCTAATTAGCATATTATGCTTTTATTATTATAGATTAGATTCCACATAAAACAGAGATCATATGGTATTTATCTTTGTCTTATTTCACTTAGCATAATGCCTACAAGGTCCATCCATGCTGTTGCAAATGGCAAGAATTCATTCTTTTTTATAGCTGAATATTATTCCACCTTCTTTATCTATTCATCTCTCAGTAGACATTTAGGTTGTTTTCACATCTTGGCTACTGTAAATGATGGCTCATCATTACCTGCTTCTCCTATAAAGAAGTAGAATTCCTCAACAAGTAGTAGACTCTTTATAAAAGTAGTAGACTCTTTAAATGCTTTGGAGTCCACTTAACCAGTACCTGACATTGAAAACAGCTGTTTGACAACATAACATGTTAATATTTAAGTTTCTGTAGTATCTTAAATGCAGGCCATTCTGCTCTAAGTCATTTATTTACATCTAATCTGTCAAGTTCAGCTGAATCACTAACATCTTATTAATCACTACTTGATCTAGTGCCTATGATATGTCCACATCAAATTACTCAAAATCCCTTGAGGACAGGGACCAAGTCTGTCTATCTCAAACTTCTAGTATAATGTATGTACATAGTAGATGCTCAATAAATATTTGTTGAGTGCCAGAAAAATTAATTATTTAAAAAATTTGTTAAATTCATTATCTTTTATTTATTTCAAATAAACATAATCACAAAAATTGGGATTATATTCCATTTATAATTTTAGTTATTTTTTCCCTCAACTTTCTAACATGAGCATTTTCTCATCTCATTTATTCACAAGAATAACCATTTAAAATATTTAATCATGTCATGACAATAACCTATAATTTATATAAATGTAATTTTTGTTGGACATAACTATTGTCCTATACTATATAGTGCATACCTTTATATTATCTATGTAACATATTTTCTATAGATCATCATCTTCATTTGTGACGTGTGTAGCTATTGTAGACATAGCTAGTATTCAGACTCATATATCTAACAACAAATAAAACACTGATTAAAAAAACCCCTGTATAATTAATTATGGGACTAATAGTTTAAATGGAGTCACTAAAGTGGTTTATTGATAACATAGCATGGAAAAAAGTAGCATATTTTAAAACAATACCTTCTCCAAGTTATTTAGGTAAAGAAGCTGCCCAAGTTTTTTCTGAAGCTGTGACGTAGCAACAGTTTTATCATTTAGTAGTTTTATCCGATTTTGCTCCACCTGAAAAACAGAACAAAATAACTTTATTCTCTCTCAGAATGGTGGCAAAATTATATTAAAAAGGCATAATTCTCCCTCAATACAAATATGTCCTCTTTTAAAAAAACTCATTTACATGAGAAAACTCAAATGTGCAAAATGGATAATAGACAATATATTTCAAAAGTAAATGTATATATTTTTTGCTTAAAACTCAATGTCAATGTTTTAAATAGGAAACTTTCCTATACACTTGAAGTCAGATATAAAAAAAAAAAAAATCAACCCAAATTCTATCTGTGTATCATTTTTCAGTAGTACATCCATGGATAAAGAAAAATGAGCCCTAACCGGTTTGGCTCAGCGGATAGAGTGTTGGCCTGCGGACTCAAGGGTCCCAGGTTCGATTCCGGTCAAGGGCATGTACCTTGGTTGCGGGCACATCCCCAGTAGGGAGTGTGCAGGAGGCAGCTGATCGATGTTTCTCTCTCATCGATGTTTCTAACTCTCTATCCCTCTCCCTTCCTCTCTGTAAAAAATCAATAAAATATATTGGGAAAAAAAAGAAAAATGAAATAATATGTTACTCTGGCCAGAGTGATTTTAAGAAATCCAGAGAAAAATCTCAATGCCCCCATCCTCTCTATGGCCTCCTCAGTAGAATACAATAGACAAAACAGGAATATAAAAATAAGATGAATTTGTTAAAAGAACAACACAAAAAACACTTGCTGAGACTTCTATTTCAAAAGTTAAGTGAGCTCTTTTGCATCCAGCAACTGCAGCACCCACCTGACCCCAACCGTCCGCCCCCATACCTGACTGGCAGCTCAGTCCCCCCAGCCTCATACTGTTATCGAAGTGAGATTCTGTGCTTACATAAGAAATCAGGCCTCACTGGAGACATTCAAGCAAATGTTGGACAACTACTTTTCCAGAACAGAAAGGAAACTCATGCATCAGAAAAAGTGACTAATAAAGGTACCAAAAATTATGGCTGCACAAATGCTAGAATCTGATTAGATAAAACAGTTTCAAGAATTTCTTGGAACCTACAATAAACTTACAGAAACTTGCTTTTTGGACTTGTGTGAAAGACTTCACAACAAAAGAAGTAAAACATGAAGAGACTACCTATTCAGAACATTGCTTACAGGAATATTTAAAAATGATGCAAAGAATATCCATGCAATTTCAGGAATATCATATCCAGCAGCCTGGCAGCCATGACAGAGAAGTCCTGACGGATGGACTTTTCCTAAAAGTTGCCAACAGCTTTCCACTGGAAATGAAGATTCATCTGATAGAATCCCCTGAAAGCAGTAGCTACCACGTTAACCATCTGTCATGACTGTTTGGCAAGTGGAATCCACTAGAAAAAGAAATTTTCTATTTACCAGGAATGATCAAAACGGAAGGTCTTATTATCCAATGAGAACAGTAAGATGAAACATTTGTTGAGGCCTTATGATTCAAGAGCTTAGCCACTTGATTAGACAATCAATTGTTTCAATTGTGACTATTAATTTTAAAGCAAAATATGTGTTCAATCATGAATGAGATAGAAATTTTTTTTTATTTGTAAAAGAAAAATAAATGGATATATCACTGAAAAAAAGTTAAGATAGTGTGTAATGAATACTACCAATTTTTCTGAGTTACGGTCTCTAAGCTTTATGGAAAGAAAAACATTTAAAAGATTTAGCACACACAAGGAATACAAGTACATTATAAAGAAAATGATATTTTTAATATAGAAAATGTTGGTGAAGTTATTTTTTAATAATGAGATATAAAAAGAGATTTATTAGCAGATAAGTTGTCAATATGTGTTCATCGTTAGCCAAGGAAAATACTGCAAAAGATGTTTTTGGTTTTCTTAGGGAAGACTTTTCTAGTTCTGAAAAAGCTGACGTAATAGGACACATGTCTGAAAACTGACCAAGAATATCTTTAGGTTGTATCAAATAGAAGGTGTTCAAAAATAGGTGGATCTGCAATCTGGAGAGAAACAAATGAACCGAAATGGTGAATTTAAAGCAAGTATTAGATGTGAAATTGCTCAACTTTGAACATTTATGACCTACATAATCAAATAACTTCATATGGATCAAAGAGAAGAGATTAAACACATACTAACTGTAGAGATCATTGTCCTGACTCTCTCTCCTCTATGAATCTTGGATTTTTGTACTATCTATTTGCTGTGCTCTTTTCTGTGATTTACTTGCAAATTACCTCATGTGGTTCAATGATGTGAAGAACAGGTGGATTGGGCTTTGGCTCCCTAGGATGACGAATTCTTAGACGTTCTGTAGCCATTGCCAGTTCATCAACAGCAGATACACGATTCCTCAGAGCCATCCAGTACTCATGAAGCAACTGGAGGAACAGAAAAGACAAAGACATTGGTAAAGCACATAATTAAAAGTGGTTAAAACCACCAAGATGTGTCTTGGTCAAGTCTTCAATGAGGTCTTATGACACTGAAATTTTCATTAAGTGTCTAAGGTACAAGCAATTCTTTTTAGGAAGAGAAAGTACAACTGGAAATCTCCATAGGACACTGCAGAGTATTGCCTCTCTAGATTCTTAGGAGAATATCCGATTCCTTGGTAGAACCAAAGATCTGTATAGCTTAATACTAGGCTGGTGAAATCTCTACTTTATTTTTTAAAGAAATATTGTATTATAAAAGATTTCACATTTAAAATAATATGTATATATGAAAACGAGAGTACGAAAATACACAAGTGAGTCCTATCATCCAATTACTAAAGAGAACAATACTAAATTCTTAGAAAGCCTTTGTGTTCCTTCTTAACTATCTCACTCTTTCCTCATATATTTTTCCTTCAAACCCCACCCCCCTCCCATGGGGTAACCATTATTCTGGGTTGGACTTATTATTCCATACTTTTCATTGACATATACTAATCTCCACATCCTTAATAACCTGGATATTTAGTTTCTGAAATTGATAGAAGTGATATCAACCATTATAAAACTTTCTTCACTAACATTACACTTTGAGGTAGATCCTGACTGATGTGTGTAGCAGCTCATTCATTTACATTGCTGTAAGAGGGTTTAGTCTGCAATGTTATAGAGAAAAAAGGTACAAAGTTTTGGGAGAATTACAGAATAAGCATTCCTCTGATACAGAGCAAGTGGCCAAACAGAACCTAAAGGAAGAATGTAGAGCTAAGTGGACATAACACAGTACTATCTTCCTCCATGGCTTGCCGTAATTAACTGTGTTAAAGTGCTTGTACATTAAAATAGTAATGTGAAAGAAAAAAAAATGATTATGAGCCAATGATTTCTATACTCTAAAAATAACTTTCCCAATTTATCAAATATATGAACTGATATAATAGACAGATAACATGCCTTCTTTTTCTGGATACTTTTTATCCTGCTTTAAAAGGCAAGAACTTTAGATTAAAAAAAGATGTTAAACAGAATTATAAATAAAACACTTCTTTCATGGCCTTACCCATCTCACCTGCAAAGTAGGATAACAAATTAACAAATCCAAATACAAAGACAAATAAAAAATTAATGAATTCTAGAATCTCATCTCAAGGTCAGAGTTACAACATGAGGAAATTACTAAAGTATTAATATGAAAGGTCACTTTGTGCATTATAAATAGCAATGGTTTCCAGTCTCACCTATTGAGAAATATTTACTATGTTCTCCAATCTTCATTCAAGGTTGTTGATGGTTGGTTTTACTCAGAGCAAAAAATAAAAAATGAAAAAAATCCCTACTCTAATTTCACAAATTAGCTGTGTAAGATCAAGCTAAGAACAGAATGATCATTTTCACAGCTAAATAAAAGGTTTCATATATTTTTATTTTAATAATGATATTCTTTTAGTAACTTAATAAATAAAAGTTACTTAACTATTCAGTATGATTATTTTTATTTTTCATCATTACAATCACAACATTTTAGGGAAAGAGAAATTATAACACCTAAGTCTCTAAGCAGATTTTCAAAAACTAAAGAGAGAAAAAGAAAAGTAGTAATTAAAATTAATGTAATGGAGAACTTTTAATATTGGAAGAAGTTTTAAAATACTGGACCTTATATTCCTTTTTCCAAGCTTCAAAGAGATCCATTGAAGTACTTCCTTCATCAATGAATTCAATGTCAAATCTATGTGATTTTGCAAATGATAGTAGAGCTTTCATAGATCGCTCTGTCTCACTTATTGCCCATAGACCCCGGTTGGTGGTAGGCGCTCGATCATCCACCAGGCCTTCTTCATCTTCTATCATCTCCTCAAATATTGCAGTCTGGCCTTTGACTCTGAAGACATATGAGAACAAAATAACTGTTCAGTGGGTAATAAGCACTGTAAATTCATATTGGCAGAGCCAGTATGGGAAACAAGGTCAGTAACGAAAATTTCAACAATTTTTAATGTCACGTCTACAAGATCATGCTTGCAAGTCATTGAAATCACAGCAACTCTGAAAAGCTTGAGGCTTCATAAATTTGATCAGTGTTATTTGAGAACCATCTGGCATAATAAATGGCTATAAATTCCAGGCTGAAATCTTACTCTGAGAATTAAAACAATATAAAAAAACAAACTACTATCAACCATATCAAAAAAACCCACCAAAACGTAAGATATTCTAAAAGTACACTGTCAATCACTCTCTTTTGAGGCAATCAGAACTTAGACTTTTGTCTATTTCCATTTTTGTAAGAGAAATAATTTTGCTAATACTATGGCTATTGCACTTACTAAGTAGCTTAATTCCTTACACAGGATGAAGATTTCAAATCTGTGTTGGAGAAAGTATATTAATAATGAGAGCTAACATTATATAGGACACTAACCATGTATCAAACACTCTGCTAAGCAATTATGTGCATTTTCCTATTGAATATGTAAAACAACAACTCAGCGAAGTAGTGCTATTATTTTTTTAAATTAATAAATCTTTATTGTTCAGATTATTACAGATGTTCCTTTTTTTTCCCCCATAGCTCCTCTCCACCTGGTTCCCACCCCACCCCATGCCCTTACCCCCTGCCACTGTCCT